GCCCATGTGAAAAACCCCAGAGTTGCCAAATTGAAAGTTTCTCAGCAGCTGGGAGTTGATTAGAAAGGTGTTGATTTTGTTTGCCACTTCTCAGCTTTAAGTTAAACTCTGATCCCATCATAGGAAAGGTCACAATGATCAACTAGATGGACAACCAGTTGTAGTTAAGTCAACTCCAACTCAGGGTGACCCCATGTGTGTCAGGGGAGAACTGTACTCCATAGGGGTCAAGAGGGCTGGCTTTGTGGAAGCAGATTGCCAGGGCTTGCTTCTGATGTGCCACTGGACAGACTCCAGCTGCCAACATTCTGATTAGCAACCGAGCATGCTAATCCTTTACACCATCAGGGACTCCTGCCTGAGTGGGTGGGTTCTAAATCTAATCACTTTGGGTCATTGAAAGAGTCAAAGGGCACAGGGACAGGCACAGAGAGGAGAGGAAAAGAGATGATGGAGACAGATGTATCTACAAGCATTGCCAGCAGCTACTAGAGGCTGAAGTAGTCAGGGTCCTCCCTCTAGAGCCCTAACCTGAATTCAGACTCCTAGCCCCCTGAACTGGGAGAATATAAGTTTCTGTACTTCAAAGCCACCCACCTGTGGTATTCATGTTATGGCAGCACCCAGTGACTAAGACATCCTCACACTTCCTGGTCTGCGACTGCGATAGTGCTTTCCTTACTGCACATTGCCACTTCCAAACTATTTCTGCCCCCTCATCCTTTAACATCCTTGAAGCACATGGTGCAATTTCCCCTCTGTTCTTCCTTGGTCCTAATGTGGCACCTGGATCACTATCTCTCCCTCTAGTATCATACCAGTCATCATCTTTGACTGATTAAATATCCTGACCAGTGACCTCTCCACCAGTCCTCTCACTGCCTGCTGTCCTCTGCTCATGGATCTCACCCCCACTTGGCCTCAGCCACCACTCCCTGGGCCACCCCCTCACTTTGTTCTTGACATTAAAGTGGACCTCTTTGGAAGTATCTATTTCAGCATTCTGCTCTCTCTAACCACTAACTTATCATTTCAACTGGCTTCTTCTTCTAACATTGTGCTCTAACCTTCTCTGACCCCCAGGGACCTCCCCTCCTTTGAGCCTGTGTCTTTCTTGTCTAAATTCCCTGCCTACCCATCGGCCCACTTTGTCGCTTGGTCCGCACTTTGTGTTAGCACAGTCCAGATGGCAAGGCAGAGTGCTGGAATTCATTCTCTCTCCCTCTGTGGTAGTTAAATTTGTATGTCAACTTGACTGGGCCTGGTTGAGTGTCTGGGCAGCTAGCTGGTGGTAGTTATTCCCCATGATGAGACTGGCAGTCAACTCCACGGTGGGATCTACCACAAGCAGCTGAGTAGTTGCCTTTGGGATGTGGTCTGCTTCCTGTATATAATGAGAAGCCTTGGGGATAGCTTAGCTTATGGCGTGCTTGGACCCTGCATGTATCCATGTTGTTGTTCAGCAGCCTGCCATGCTCTGCCGACCTTAGGATTTACAATGGACTTGCATAAATGGCCTGCCATATGGTTGGGTAACTTCGGGACTGTGCCTTTTAACTTGTCAACCTTGGGCTTGGCAGCCACAGCAGCCAGCAGCTGTCTGAGTGACGAAAAGCCTCTAGCTTCAGTGGGCCGAGAGCTGGAGGCAGAGCTGAAGCCCAAGGCTGGGGAGCTTTCACCCAGCCCCCTAGAGCTTGGCACTTTGAACTTGGACTTAAAGCCTCCAAATTGTGAAAGAATGAACTCCTGTTTGTGAAGGCCAACCCGTTTGTGGCATATTCTTGTCAGAGCGGCACGAGGTAACCACAACACCCTCCACCACGATTGCTTGGCAAAACCCTGGACACCTGGGCCCAACTCCCTGTCCTTCTGTGTCTGCCCTGAGCTGGTCACAAGTATGTGCTGCCTGGATTCCCTTTTAGGCTGTGCACACAAATGCCACCACTTCTGCACTGGACTAGGGTTGGAATCCTGGCTTTGCCATCTACTGGCTCCGAGGCCTTGGTAGAGATTCTTGATCTCTCTAGGCCTCAGTCTCCTCCTCTGCCTCGAGGAATTATTATGGGGATTACATGTGCTAATGTTTATAAGGTGTTGTTTGTATTTTATTTTTCCTCATTCTTTTCCCACCTTTCCCTCTTTTCCCAACTCTCAGTGACTGCCCCTAACTCTCAGTTGATAAGTGTGACTACCATTTCTTTAAAGAATGGGCAGGTAACACTTTGTAAACACCTGTCTCTGGACAGCTCTAACATTCCACCTTGATTTGAATGGAAATCTATCTTCCCGCACTGTACACTCACTAATGCTAGTGAACTTGGGCTCACACAGAACAAAAATAGCCCCTTTTTTGTCGTTAAAATGTTGATAGCAGCCTTTATCCCCTACCGCCACTCTTCAGTGGCAAAGACACCTGGAAGAACTAATGATGTGGATGGACAGGGCAGGGGGCGGGGTGTCTTTACTACTGTTCTCCACCCTTCTGCTCACCATGTGGAATATAGACTAGAACCTCTATCTAGGGTTGCATTAATATGCAAAATTGTGGTGGTGTTGAGAGTGGTGTGGGGAGAGCAGAGTATCTTCCTTAGGCTAGCCACCAGATCTCTACTAAGACAGAACTTGATTTTGGAATGCTACACATTATTGCTGTTGCATAGTGAATTCACCATACTTATAAAATACAGGAGAATAAGATGTGGGCAGTTGCTGTGTGGTTAATCCAAGAAGGCTTCCTGGAGGATGTGAATAACTGTAGAGCCTTGTCTTAGTGGTGCAAGACAAATATGATGGAGAGGAGGGGGTGGATTTTTTTTTTTTTTTTTTTGAAGGGAATTGGTAATATGGGGCATGAGCAAGTGAATAAACTTGGCTCAAATGTGCTGGGGTTAGGCTGAGAAATGTGGGTGACTTGTTTAGAGGTCATGAAAGTCATCCTATTGGGTCTTGAGTTTTCTCCCAGACTTCCACTGATGAAGGAAAGACATATTTCTGAGCTAAATAGTGACCTGTTTAAAATGCTATATTGGACACTTCTCTTAAATCATAGTAGATAACTGAAGCTTGAAAGAAATACTGGGATAGTAGGAACTATACACACACACACACACACGGTTTGCCAAGAAGATGCAAATATGAATATGATGTGAGTGTTAGTTTTAAACTGACCTTGTCCTCCCCATTAGGTTACCAGTTACCAGTTGCCATCAAGTCAGTTCCGACTCATGGCATCCCCGTGTGTGTCAGAGTAGAATTGTGCTGCAGAGGGTTTCCAGTGGCTGATCGCCACACCATTCTTCTGAGTGCCTCTGGGTGGACCTGAGCCTCCAACCTTTCAGCAGCCTGTGTTAACCATTTGTGCCACTCAGAGACTCCTCCCCATTAGTTATACAGAGAGTAAATGAAACAGAACCAAAAATAAATGTGGCTCAGTACTCATGACCGTAGTTGAGGAAACAGATTTCAGACTGGATATTAAAGCCCCTTAGTTGACTTACAAGTGTCACTCAGTAACACCCTTCTCTGGGTACCCTTCTCTGCTTACCTTTGAGAAGCTTATAATCCAGCTAGCCTTGGGACACTTGCCTAACCTGCATTCAGGTGAACCTCTGACCACCCATGCGTACCCAAGTCACCTCCAGATCCTATAGTCAAGAGGGCAGGCTGAGGGCTGTCAGACTGCACCTGTTCTCTTTTTTCCGCACTTTTCAATGGGAACATGGGGGTGAAATGAGCTTCACTGTCCAGAAGCCTCCTCAGTGACATCACACTATGCCCTATCCCCTAGGAGGGGGATGTGAGGCTTCTGAGGCCTGACCTCTGACCTCTGAGTGAGCCATACTCACAGTTAGGCAGACGTTGATGAGTGTGCAGGTCTTGCCATCTCCAGTGTATGTTGGCAGACAGTTGCAGACGGCCTGTGTGTGGGGAGAGGACAGTGGGGTTACTTCATAGATCAATTCTGTGAACTAGTCACAAGAACTGGCTCTCAGACTCCACTTCTATAATGGTAAGTAGAATATTCTACATCTAGCATTGCTATTATCTATTCTTCTCCACTTGTCTGTCAGTGGGTCATACTGTGGTGGCTTGCATGTTGGAAGCTATGCCACCAGTATTTCAAATACCAGCAGGGTCACCCATGCTGGACAGGTTAGAAGAGTTTCCAGACTAAGAGACTAGGAAAAAAGGCTTGGTGATCTAGTTCCAAAACTTAGCCAATGCAAACCTTACAAATCACAAGAGAACAGTGTCTGACTCACTTGCTTTGGACACGTCATCAGGAGCGATCAATTGCTAGAAGAGGACATCATGTTTGGTAAAGTAGAGGGCCAATGAGGGTATGTGAGACCCTCATTGAGGTGGATTGGCACAATAGCCCCAGTGATGGGACTCGAACATGATGGTGATTATGAGGATGATGTGGGTTTGAGTAACGTTTCGTTCTGTTGTAGGTAATGTCGCCATGAGACTGAGTCAACAACATCTATAATGATAATTGTCATACTGTATTTCAGCACATTTGGCATACTTCACTTTTTAGCACTGAAATCTCATACATACCCTATCTTTGCTGCCATCTTTTTATAATATACTTTTTCCTTTTCACTTTGTTTGGCTCCTTATCTTCTAGGCACTGATCTTTTTTTCTCTGATTGGTGAAGGGTCAGTTGAAAGGAAGCCACATCCTGCTCCCACTCATACTCCTTCCTTGCTCATGTCTACCATCTTCTCAGTCCAAATGCACCAGTGCTAAGAGATGGTCAAAGAGGGCTTTGGAGTCAAGGAAGTTACATAGGGCGAAAATACCAGTCAAATTCATTGCTTGATCAAGGAAGTTGGTTGGGGGTTTCAAGTTCAGGGAGGGGATACTGTCTGGAGGAAGTCATGTACAGGACCCCAATATCATGTGCAGACCATGCACTGTTCAGAAGTGCTCAGCCATGGGGGTTAATGGGGCTGGAATGTAGCCACACTCTGTTCACTCAGCTGTGTGCCCAGAGGAAGGGGCATCTGCCCTAAATGTGTTGTCTCAGATGTGCCTCCTATCATAGCAGGGGCTCCTGTCTGATGTCTATTTATTAGAGCTTGAATTCATTGGCAGGGTCAGCCAGGACCAAAGTGTCAGGTCTTACACTGTTCCTTCTCCTTCACCATGATGCCATTTTATTCCAGGTGAGCCCCAACCTCAGCTCAGCTCTTTACCAAGATGCCAATTAGCTGTCCCTCTTCAGCTAAGATCTTGTTCTCAGAGTTGAGCCTCGTAGTCTCCTCACTGTCTTCTAAGTCTGGAGGATGGTTAGAGGCCCTGAGCACCAAAAAGCTTACAGGTTTTCTCTACTCCATGTGTAATTTGAAATAAAAACTTGAATGAAATTGAAAATATGTATAAGGAGATTCAACTTCAACTGTTTTGATTTTCCTTATGAATATATGTATGTAGTGGCTTGAATGGTGGTTGCCAAAAAGATAAGCCTAAATCCTAAGCCCTTGGACCTGTGAATTTGGTACCTGTGAATGTAACCTTATTTAGAATTAGAGTCTTTGCAGATGCAATTAAGGATCTTGAGATGAAGTCATTCTGGACTTATGGTGGACCCTAAGAAAGAAAGGAGAGGGAGAGTTAAGAGACAGAGGTATAGAGGGGAAAGCTATGTGAAGACAGAGGCAGAGACTGGAGTGACTTGTCTACCAGCCAAGGAACAAGAAGGGTGGCTGGTGGCCCCCAGAAGCTAGGAGTGAGTCATGGAACTGATTGTCTCTGAGAGCCTCCAGAAGGAATCAACTTTGCTGATGCCTTGTTTTTGGACTTCTGTCCTCCACAACTGTGAGAGAATGTATTTCTCTTGTTTTAAGCCACCAAATTTGTGGTAATTTGTTACAGCACCCACAGGAAATAATACAATATATTCAACCAGGTGAATTGTGGGATGACATCAAAAACATCATACATGAAGAAAGCAAAAGGTCAGGAAAGGAAGAAAAGACTAAAATGGATGTCAGAAGAGACTCTGAAACTTGCTTTTGAATGGAGAGTAAGTAGCTAAAGAAAATTGAAGAAATGACAAGATAAAAGAGCTGACAGAAATTTCAAAGAGCAGCTGGAGAAGACAAACTCAATCATTATAATGAAATGTGCAGAGATCTGGAGTTAGATAACCAAAAGGGAAAAATACTCTCAGCATTTCTCAAGCTGAAAGAACTTAAGGAAAGCTTCAAGCCTTGAGTTGCAATATTGAAAGGTTCTATGGGCAAAATATTGAATGATGCAGAAAGCATCAAAAGAAGATGGAAGGAATACACAAGTCACTGTTCAAAAAAAGAATTGGTTGATGTTCACCTGTTTCAGGAGGTGGCATATCATCAAGAACCAGTAGTACTGAAGGAAGAAGTCAAAGGTGCACTGAAGGAATTGGTGAAAAACAAGGCTCTAGCAATTGACGGAATACCTACTGAGATGTTTCAACAAATGGATGCTGCACTGGAGGCACTTACTTATCTATGTCAAGAAATTTAGAAGACAACTATCTGGCCAACTGACTAGAAGAGATCCATGTATGTAGTCATACCAAAGAAAGGTGATCCAACAGAATGTGGAAATTACTGAGCAATATCATTAATATCACATGTAAGGAAAGTTAATTTTTTTTTGTGTGTGTGTGATTTGGGTGAAAGATTACAGAATAAATTCATTTTCCATACAACAATTCATATACATTCTGTTTCATGACATTGACTGTAATTCCCCACAATGTAACAGCTCTTTTCCCACTTCCTCTCCATAGTTACCTCTTCCCTGTGTCCTTCCTTCCCATGCACTCCTACATCCTGAGCTGTCTCCCTGTGCAAACACTGCCCTTCTATTCTCCCACAACTGATTGCTCCAAAGAGTGTATCTACCTGATGTAATTGTTCACTCCATATGCCTGTCTGTTGTTTGGCTGGAAGCCACAGGAGTGAATTCAGTTCCAGACCTGGAGGGTAACTAGGGGCCATAGTCTCAGGGGTCTCACTGGGCTCTATCATACAAGCAAACTTGGTCTTTTTTTTTTTTTTTATGATTTATGCAAGGAGAATGTTGCTGAAGTTTGCAGCAGTATATTGACAGGGAACTTCCAGAAACACAAGCTGGATTCAGAAGAGGATGTGGAACAAGGGATATGATTGCTGATCTCAGATGGATCTTGGCTCAAAGAAAAGAATACCAGAAAAATGTTTACTTGTGTTTTATTGACTATGCAAAAGCATTCAACTGTGTGGATCATAACAAATTATGGATAACTTTGAGAAGAAAGGAATGCCAGAACACTTAATTGTACTCATAAGGAAACTGTACATTGACCAGGAGGCTGTCATTTGACAGAACAAGGGGACACTGCATGGTTTAAAATCAGAAAGGGAGTGCGTCAGGGTTGTATCCTTTTACCATACTTACTCAACCTGAATGCTGAGCAAATAATCCAAGAAGATGGACTACATAAACACAGCAACAAGATTAGAGGAAGACTCATTAACAACCTGCAATATGCAGATGACACAACCTTGCTTGTTGAAAATGAAGATGACTTGAAGCACTTACTGATGAAGATTAAAGGTTACAGTCTGTGGTATGGATTGCATCTCAACACAGGAAAATTAAAATCCTTGCAACTAGATCAATAAGCTGCATCATGATAAATGGAGAAAAGATTAAAGTTGTCAAAGATTTCATAATACTTGATCCACAATCCAACACTCATGGAAGCAACAGTCAAGAAATCAGACTTCGTATTGCACTGGGCAAAGGTGCTGCGAAAGATCTCTTTAAAGTGCTGAAGAACAGAGATGTCTCTTTGAAGACTAAGGTACGCCTAACCCAAGCCATGGTATTTTCAACTGCCTCATATGCATGTGAAAGCTGGACAATGAATAATGAAGACCAAAGAAGAATTGATGCTTTTGAGTTGTGGTGCCGATTAAGAATACTGGAAGTACCATGGACTGCCAGAAGAACTAACAAATCTGTCCTGGAGGAAGTGCAGCCAGAAAGCAAGAATGGCCAGACTTCATCTCACCTACTTAGGTCATGTCAGAAGGGACCATTCCCTGGAGAAGGATCTCATGCTTGGTGAAGTGGAGGGTCAGCAAAAAAGGGGAAGATCCTCAACAAGATGAATTGACACAGTGGCTGCAATGATGGGCTCAAGTATAGCAAGGATTGTGAGGCTGGCGCAGGACTGGGCAGTTTCATTCTATTGTACATAGGGTTGTTATGAGTCAAAGCTGACTTGATGGCACCTAACAACGATGTGTGTGTGTGTGTGTGTGTGTGTGAGTGTTCATTTTTAAAAACAACTGTTTTTTCTTATTTTTGAGTGCTTTAGGCACTTACTTGATCTGCTCATTGGGAGACCTGGCACTGAGATCTCTGAAGGGCTCACCAAGGTTGACTGAACATTCGTTGGAGACTTGATTCGGCCACCTAATTTCTGGTGTATATAATTTCCTGCCTGGCCATTTTGCTTATTCACAATGTGACAGAGATTGAGAGAGGCAGAGCTAGCTTCCCTGTCTGCATCTTCTCAGCCTGGAGACCCCTCTCCTGCTCTCATGCTGGAGCCACCTCCCCAAACATGCTCTCTGGAGAGGCACTGTGGGGGTCACTTGTGTTAAGGAAGATATGAGAGATACTAGTTGCCCTCAAGTTGATTCCAACTCATGGCAACCCCATGTGTGTCAGAGTAGAACTGGGCTCTATGGGCTTTCAGTGCCGAATTTTTCAGAAGTAATCCCCAGGCTGCTCTTCCAAGGCACCTCTGGGTGGACTCAAAACTCCAACCTCTCTATTAGCAGAAGAGTGCCTAACTGCTCGCACCACCCAGGGACTCCATATGACTGATAGAGGGCTTGAACAGTTATCTTCTGTTGCATCATGTGCATTTCAGAGCTGCAAGCAAAAGAAAAACTGGCCAGATTCTGGGTATCAGAAAGCTGAAAGAAAGAGGAACATTTCTGGGAACGTGGTGTCTGAATTCATGTGGTGTTGGCAGATGCCTACTTCACTGTACCCTAAAGCAGTCCCATCTCCCAGGTACCCTTTTTCCTCCATTTCACCTAATTCCTAAATAATGGTTTCCCATCCTTTCAGGATTTCCTCTACAGTATTTATTTTCTGGAAGATTGGCCTGCTGACGTACTGAACATCAGCCACTGCAAACCCCGTGGAGCCCACCAGTCCAGTCCCCGACTGATCATGGGGAAGGCACAGGGCCGGGCAGGGTTTTATTCCTTTTGCCTGGGGTCATCATGAGTTGAGTGAACATACTAACAGCTAACAACAACATTTATTTTCTGCTGCTTCTCCCCAGTGGTCTGACCTCAGCCCCTTCCGTTCGGGCTGTGTTTACAGACCCTAGTGTTTTCTCCACGGAAGACTTAGGGACCCCTGGGAGGCAGAGCTCACCTGGTTGGGTCCCGTCTGTGTGCACTCTGCGTTCTTGTCACAGCCACCATGGTTCTCCAAACATGGATTAATTTCTTAAAAACAAAAGTCAACATGTGGCATGAGAATCAAGCCTCACTCTCAAGAGAAGGCATCTTGAGGGACTGACCATGATGACTGACTGAAGGAACAGATATCAACAGTGCGATTTGTTTTTCAGACAACACTGAGGTAAACACAATATGAAGTAGAGGGTGCCAGATAAGAGTTCTCCAAACAAACCTGTCTGAGACAGGCTCATCCCAGCAAATGTACAGGCTGCAGGCTGCGGGCTGCAGGCTTGAATCTGTCCCCCTGTGGAATGAATGAATATGAGCAGGGACAGCAAAGGCCTTATGTCTTGAGAAATCTTGCAATCCAACCCAACAATGATATGAATGAAGACACTTGAAAATTTGTTAAAAAAGTCATTTGCAACCATCACAATAAAGATGGTCTAGGGAAGAATCATCCTAGATGCCAAAATTAGGAGGAAGTTTAGTTGGGGAGCAGGCTATTTACTTGGTCTTACAGTTTCTCCCCACTGCTCCCCACTGATTGCTTTTTAGTATCAAGGGGAAGGAGAAGCAATTAGACAGTGGAGAAATCGGACGGGACCTTGATGACGGAGGGGTCAAAATGACCATCACAGACAAGGGACAGATGGGATTCGTGTGCCTCTGTGTGATACGTGGATATATACAACATCACTGGCGTAATGTGCTGCCCTGGATTGTGTGATCAGAATGAAATGATGAAGAAACATCAGAGAAACCCTAATTGAAGCATATACTAGCAAAATAATAATAATAATAAATAAAGAGAAAGAAAGGAGAAAGAAAAGCTGAGGGAGGGGACTATAGTCTTTTAAAATAACAATGTCATAAAAGACGTTTTCAGATTAAAGAGGACTAAAGAGACATGACAACCAAATGCAGTACCCAACTGAGGCTCCAGTACAAGGAAATATGCTGTAGAGGACATTCTGAGTCAATAGGGAAAATCAGAACACAGATGCTAATTAGATAAAAGTGTGTTAATATTACATTTACTAACCCAGTGCCATTGAGTCATTGTTCTTTAATGTCACTCAAAAGAACATTGAGTTTTAAAGGTGGTAAATCTTTATGGAAGTAGATTGTCCTATCTTCCTTCCACAGAGTGGCTGGTGGGTTTAAACCACCAACCTCCTGGTTAGCAGGTGAATATCTTAGGCACTGTGCTACCAGAGCTTCTTATTAAATTTAATGAAGTCAGTAAGTGTACTGTAGTCATGTTGAAGACTATCTTTATCCTTGTTGTTGTTGTTATTGTTATGTGCCGTCGAGTTGGCCCCAACTCATAGCAACCCCTCCTTGGGTTTCCGAGGCAGTATCACTACGGAAGTAGATTGCCCCATCTTCCTTCCGGGGAGTGGCTGGTGGGTTTGAAC